GCTGTCCTAAACTCTAACTTTATGCGAGATTTCGTGCCCTTTGGTTTCTATTTGTGACTATTATAACGGCTTCAAAATCAGGAAAATTTTTAGTTGTTGGTCCATTTCAACCCCTAAATTATTATGGACATCTTTGAAAACAATAGGCCAAGCCCTTCTGAGCCTAACCCCACCCTTGTGAAAATTTTCGTGAGGATCGAACGATATTTGCAATACTTTTATAATTTCCCCAACCTGTGTTGTAAGGTGGAAAAAAATTACAAAATATTATAAATTGAAAAAATCGCATGCGATCGTCGATTCGTCTATTTGCGATTTCGCCGGCATTAAAAATATTCGCGGTTAAATGGAAAATTTGACTTTTATTTATCACAAATGCTATGGTCTATTTACCCACTAAATATTACATCAAAATTTGAAGGCTTCTGCCCAGCCCTAAGTTCTAGCCCCATGCTAACTTCCGCGTCGATCTATATTTGCGACCTGTAGAGCAACTGCAAAATCAGGTAATTTTTCAGTATTTGTTCCATTTCAACCCCTAAATATTATGCTATCATCTCCAAAAGAAATAGGATTCTATTCTGACCCTAGCCCCACCTCCATTCTAAATATCGTAATATTGGGCCATAATTGCGACCTGTAGAGTGATTACAAATTAACATGGACAGACGGACAGACGGACATACATAGCTAGATCGACTCAGCTCGGCGAGATAGGAAGATCCATATATACTTTCCTATGTGGGAAACGAATATTTCGTAGTGTTACATAATTTTTGGCCCAATCAAACTTATAATACCCCCACACATAGTGTTGTAGGGTATAAAAACTGCAACAAAGTCATATGCCATCATATTTACATTTTTTTTAAATTTTATTGAATAAAAGCAAAAATGTCGGAAATAGCATTACATTTTGGAATATGTTCAGATCTGTTCGAATGACATGAATTATGATACTCAACCGGCCAATGAAACCGTCACACGCTGCCCGAATGTTGTTCAGCGGTATTTTGGCTCATTCCCGGCGAAGCGCTTGCTTGAGGTTATCGACACTTTGGTATTTTTTAGTTCCAACCTTGCTTTCCAAAATACTCCAGACACAGTAGTCCAACGGATTGGTATCCGCAGATTTTTGTGGCCATTGTGCGCTGAAAATGAAGCGAAGAACCCTATTTTGTAACCATTCTTGGGTGGTGCGTGCTGAGTACGATGGTGCTGAGTCCTGTTGGAATGTCCAAGGTCTGCGGCCAAAATGTTTGCGTGCCGAAGGCTTTAATACACCCCCAGAATATTTTCGGTACCCCCAATATTCGGTATTTTGATGATTTTAGCCACATTTTCTTATGGAATTGTCTGAAATTCCACACAAGGAGTCTCTTATAAATATTTCACCCCCTGAAAGAGAATTTTCTATATAGGTCCACGATATCGTATATCCCCCATATAACGGTACCCCCCGATATTCGCTATTTTGATGATTTTAGCTGCATTTTTCAACGGAATTGTCTGATAATCCACACAAGGAGTTCCTTGTTGGCACTTTATCCCTTGGAACAGAAATATCTATATAGGTCCACGATATCGTGTAGCCCCCATATAACGGTACCCCCCGATATTCGATATTTTGATGATTTTAGCCACATTTTTCAACGGATTTGTTTGAAAATCTACACAAGGAGTTCTTTGTGAGTACTTTACTCCCTGAGAGAGTTGTCTATATAAGTCCACAATATCGTATATCCCCCATATAACGGTACCCTCGATATTCGGGATTTTGATGATTTTAGCCATATTTTTCGATTAATACGAGCAAAGAGCGACCATCGGCTCTTATGGCGGCCCACACCATCACCATGGCGGGCGCTTGAGTTCTGGTGGCCAAACGAAGGTGCACATTTTCTGCTGACCTCTTTGGCATGTAAACACGATCATTTTGTTTGTTTACAAACTGCTGGACAAATAATGTTTTCTCATCGGAAGCCACCAAACCAAATTCGGCAGTTCACCACTTTCGGCCAAGCGAAGCAACTCTTTAACTCTTTTGAGTCTATTTTCTTTCTGTTGCGGTGTATGTTCTTGCTCTTTTAGGAATTTCAGTGGCTTTAACCCGAGCTCATTTTCAATATTTGCGAATGGATTATTGCGATATGTTCAGCTCACGAACCATTTTTCGGCCACTGCGACGCAAGTTTCGATCAAGTCACTTGTTTACTTTTCGAAGCATTTCTGCTGATGTTGCTGTTTTCTTCCGTCCACTTCCTTGACGTCGGACTACGCTACCAGTATCACCATAACGAGTGATGGTACGAGACACAAAAGATTTATTCACATTTAAATGCTGGAGTGCTCTAACGATAGCCATTTGTGGTTTTCCAGCCAAATATAAAGATATCACACTATCACGCTTGAATTTCATCACGAATAAGTTTTTTCTTGAAAATTCTTACAAATATGCTTTTGTACGCTTGTAAAAAATATAATGAGTTGTCACTGGAATAAATTTAACAGCTGTTGGACGAGTGGCTTAGAAGTGACAGCAGTCTAAAATATGTTGCAGTTTTTTCATCTTACCATACAGGGTGAGTAGCTATATCCAAATCTGAACGGATCTTAATAAAATTTGGCAAAGGTATTTCTGAGTTGTTTCAATATATTTCTCCGAATGTAGTTGTTACGGAGTACACATTACGGCTGTGGAGGACAAATTAAACATATATATGAGGGCCAAATTCCATTCGATTTGGACTAATATTACACATTTGGCTCACCATTAAAAGCAAATCGAAGGAAGATATATACGAGTGATATATCTATATTTTGATCGATTATCTCCGATTTCACTTGGCTTCCTCCTTGGACCAAGCAAATCATTTATGTCTGTGGGGCAATAGATGCGACTTGTACTTGGCTTACATGTACATGCCATAATCGGCTCAGAATCGACTGATTCTATGATGATTATAAAAAGGAACTATGGGTCTATTTCATTTTCATCTGCATGTTACAAACAAACCCCCAAAGAAATAATACCCTGACCACAGTGTGGTGTAGGGTATAACGATATGGACTCATAAATCCTCTTAACGACCTTCATAGAATCATATTTTGAGTCAATTTATGCCCGTTCGTTTATGTCCGTACGTCTGTCCATGTATTTTTGTAAGCAGAGAACAAGTCGCATTTAGAGTCCGATTGAGGTGATATCTTAAGCAAATAAATTGTTAAATCCAAGACCGAACCCTTTTGAAGTTGGTTACAATGGAAAACCAAATTCTATGGACACAGCTAGCAATTGTGTCAAATTCGATGAAAATCGGTTAAGCTACAGCTATAGCTAACAATGATTAGACGATACAACATATCAGATACCGCATAAAAATACCTTTGCTAGAATTTCTCGAGATCAGTTATGATTAAACATCTTCATATATTATATATATCTTCATCTGATTTTACGTGTATTCTCCACCAAATGTGTAATATAAGCCCGCATAGGATGGATTTTGATCGTGTAAGCTAATATATTGTATTTGATGAAAATCGGTTCAGATATGTGTCCTTTCTTTACTGCAATTCCCCTCCATTTCTTAAAATTGAACAAATTTGGCTCATCTTATTGCCTATGATATAATTAATTGGGCGCCACATTATAACTCAATTGGTTGTTAACAATTGAGGTACAATTTAAATTTTAAATATCATCCTAGGATCAAATTCAGAGATTTCTCGATTTTAGGATTGCGGTTATAACACTAGTGACCTTTTTTAATTTTTATTTTCCAATATATCCCAACATTCACCAATCAACATGTCGGTATCTTGCGTAAATCGAAAAATCAAACTATCTTTTTTACCCTCCACCATGGTACGGAGGGTACATTAAGATTGTTATTCCGGTTGTAACACCTCGAAATGTACATTTTAGAACCCACAAAGTATCAGATTAAAATTCTATGTCCGTCCGCGTGTGAAAATCACTCTAGCTTCCGAACAAAATGAAGTAGATTGATGCAGACCACGTCTTCGTGTAGTCCCCATATAACGGTACCTTCCGATATTCGGTATTTATTAGTCACCGGAATTGGTTCAAATTTGGTATTTGAAGTTCGTAAAGGATAATACAGCCTATGACAAAAAATTTTCTGTGCAGGTCCACGTCTTCGTATAGCCCAATATAACGGTACCTTCCGATATTCGGTGTTTTGACGATTTTGTCGACATTAGTCACCCAAATTGATTCAAATTTGGTATTTGAAGTTCGTAATGGATAATACAGCCTATGACAAAAAATGTTCTGTGCAGGTCCACGTCTTTGTATAGCCCCCATATAACGGTACCACCCGATATTCGGTATTTTAATGATTTTAGCGATATTATTTACCGGAATTGTTTCACATTTGGTATTTGGAGTTCGTAATTAATACTACAGCCTATGATTGTCCGTGCAGGTCAACGTCTTCGTATAGCCCCTATATAATGGTACATCCCGCTATCGGTATGTTCAACATTTTTGCGACATTATTCACAGGAATTGTTACAAAGTACGTATTTAAAGTTCGTAACGGGTACTACAGCCTATGACAAAAATATTCGTATGCAGGTTCACGTTTTGGTATTTCCCAATTATTATTAAGATTTAAACAAAATTTTTAACGGATTTTTTTTTTTTGAGAATTTCCAAATTCATTCCAAATGGTGGAGGGTATTCAAAGTTCGGCTCGGCCGAACTTACAGCTTTTTTACTTGGTTTAACTCACGCTTCATAATTATTTTACAAATAACAAAAATTATCATCTGAAATAAAAGTTTAAGAACATAAAGATATTGACATTCCTTCCTCTTTTTTTTTTGGATCAAAGTGGGTAGGAATAATGCAAGGATTAAATTGCAGATGCGTTCTGACTTAACGATTTCTGTATGTTTAATTTCATTAGGTTTTTCTGTTTCGTTACTTTTTTCATTCTCTGTTCACCATTAAAATATTTATGTATTCGCACCTTGTTAACACCAGTAAAATTGCACACAATTCTTTCCTCTTGTTTTTGTTCCAAAGCAGCACAGGAGCTTGTCGGAGGCACACACTCCGACAAAAAATGTAATCTTCAATTTGGTTTATATGAATTCTTAAATTGTTGTTTTATGTTTGGTTTTTTTACTTTTTTCGTTTTTTTTAACCAACGGTTGGGCGCAAATTCTTTGCCGTTTTTTGGGTTGCTTTTCTGATTCTCAATGGTCAGGTTAAAAAGCTGGAGTTTGGGTATATGGGTCGCTTGGTTTCTTGTTACTTCAAGCCACAGAAAAAAAATGTGTAACACTCACTCACGTCCACAATTTATGTTAGTTGTTGTTTTTGTTTTCTTTAGCTTTAATTCTTTAGAATTTTTATTTTATTCTTTCTACTCTCGGTCAATCACAAACAAAAAAATATTCTGGGCACACGACATCAAATGTGAGACTTAAACTCGCGCTTAGCTTTACTCCGCCACAACGAAAAACACAGACTGAATGAAGATGATGAAGAAACGAACACAGAATAGAACGGAAAGATAGTCGTTGTCTCGCGGAGCACTTGTTGTCCAACAATCCCCCACCCGAATGTATGGCGTGGTTCGCGGTTGGAGTTGCGATCGATTTGAGTCTGGAAAACCAAAAAAGAAATGCTTCTTTTGTACCACTTCTTTGTAGTGGATTTTTCTCTGTGCGCCGATGATGTTGTTGTTCGTCTTACACAAACAGAACATTAAACAACAACAACAACGACAACAACAGTACGAGCAAACTCAAAATGTCTTGAACAGCAGCGTTAAATAGAATAAGCCAAGCGCGCAAACGTGTTAACTGAACGAGCGACGAAGTTGAAATACACGCAGTTAAATGCGATACTTTCTTTGGCCTCGTATCTGTTGCTGGCTGTGGAACAAGTCTAACTGTTGCTTGTCGATTGTGCTACAAATGGCTAAATTGAAGACGAAGCGAGCGATGATGGTGGGTTTTATGATGGACGGGGGCAGGGGGTCGGTCGGACAACGATGCATGGTAGGTAGATCATGATGATCATACCACATGTAGCAGAATTGTAAAGAGTAAGTCGGCTGTTGCTTCTGCGTATTTGACGTCTCTGCCGTGAAGTCAGCTGTAGCTGCGGCGTCAGCAGCAGGTTTGCAACTGAAGAATGTATGAATAAACTGCGATTTTCCTAAACAACTCCTTTCTCCCGAGTTTTACCTAATGTCAAATTGGACAGTGGTTACAATCGAGTGGCTGTTTACAAAATCATAGAGAAACAATTCTTGGGGAACACCCTTTTTTCTGTGGTTGAGAGTCGTATTCTATGGTAAATAAAGATAATTTGTTTCATATAGTTCCACTTTTTCTACAATTCTCATATTAAGATATCGACGTCATATATAGGCTGCTTTCTAAGCCACTCGTCCGACAGCTGTTAAATTTTTTCCAGTAACAGCTCATTATATTGTTTAAAAGCGTACAATAGCATTTTGGTGAGAATTTTCCAGAAAAAACGTCATTCGTGATGGAATTTTATCGTGAAAGGGTGATTTCTTTATATTTGGCTTTAAAACAGCAAGTGGCTATCGCTAGGGCACTCCAGCATTTAAATGTGAATAAATCTTTTGTGTCTCGTGCCATCGCACGTTATCGTGATACTAGGTGTGTTTGGTTACCCTAAAATTTGTAACAAATGTTAAATCTTAACAAAGTTCTGCAAAAGAGAGCGGTTGGAGAGAGAAATGTTGACAGTTATTTCAGTGAGAGTTTGTAAATTCTTGCTGGACAAATTTCTTCTTGCAATCACTTGCAACTCTTCTTCTTCGCATTCAGCGACATTCAATCAGATGCTTTCTATTGTTTGTTTATTTCTTTTTATACCCTCCACCATACTATGGAGGGTATATTAATTTTGTCATTCCGTTTGTAACTGCTCGAAATACTCATGTCAGACCCAACAAAGTATATATATTCTTGATCAGCGTAAAATTCTAAGACGATTTTGCCATGTCTGTCTGTCTGTCTGTCTGTCCGTCTGTCTATCTTTCAAACAAATTGAGATAGAAGGCTAAAATTTTGCACACATATATATTTTGTCAGTAGGCAGGTTAAGTTCGTAAATGGGTCATGTAGGTCCAAGTTATCATATAGCCCCTATATAACGGTACCTCCCGATATTCGGTATTTTGATGATTTTAGCGACATTATTCACCGGAATTGTTTCAAATTTGGCATTTGAAGTTCGTAATAGATACTACAGCCTAAGACAGACAATTATCTGTTCTGGTCCACGTCTTCGTGTAGCCCCCATATAACGGTACCCCCCGATATTCGGTATTTTGATGATTTTAGCGACATTGTTTACCGGAATCGTTTCAAATTTGGTATTTGAAGTTCGTAATAGTTACTACTACATCCTAAGTCAAAAAATGAGCCATGTAAGTCCACGTCTTCATATAGCCCCCATAAAACGGTACCCCCGATATTCGTTATTTTGAATATTTTAGCGACATTATTTAACGGAATCGTTCCAAATTTGGTATTTGAAGTTCGTAATAGATACTGCAGCATAAAACAGAAAATGAACCATGTAGGTCCACGTCTTCGTATAGCCCTCATATAACGGTACCCCCCATATTCGGTATTTTGATGATTTTAAACAGATTTTTCTTCAAGTTTCGCATTTAAATATTGTAATAACTTATGACAAAAGTTGCCTGTACAGGTCCACGTCGTCGTATAAGCATTTGGTATTTTTAAGATTGAACAGAATTTTTAACGGATTTTATTTTTTTTTTTTTAGAAATTGCCAAATTTGTACCAAATGGTGGAGGGTATTTAAAGTTCGGCCCGGCCGAATTTACAGCTTTTTTACTTGTTGGGCTTTCAATTTGAAAATATTTTTTTGGAATTAGCAAAACTAATTGTTTTTGGAGAACAACTTTACAAAATGTGAAAAACGTAAATATAAATATGTAATCTATATATATAAATGTAAGTTGTGTTAGTTACTACGCTTATAACTCAAGATCCGCTGATCCGATTTTAACGATTCATACAAATTCGGAATTGTCTCTTTTCCGAAAAGGATAATATTAAAAAAATCGCGTAAAAATGTGATATATTAACATTTTCATTTTGACTTTTGAAATGTACAATAGTAATGTTTTATTTTGCATGATTTTTTTTCCATTTTGACTTACTTTTTTCTAATGTACATTAGTAGTGTTTTTTTTATATTTTTTTAATTCGAATATTAATACCAATTTATTTAATTGACTTGATTTCTTGAGAACTGAAATTGATGGCGGGTTGCATGGAAGTCAGTCAAATGATATAGAAATAACTTAACGCGGTTAGACCAATGTTAAAAGATAATTACTTTTTCAAAATCGCTAAAAAAACACGATAAAAGAGATCTCATGGCAAAAATTCTCAAATCGGGAAAAATCGAAAAAAAAATCAATGGAAATTGACTAGATATGGAAATAATCCATCCAATGAGAACTTAAAATGCAAAACTCATTGGGACTGCAACCAGCGAAATACCGAATATGAAGAGCACTGTTATATGCGAACTATATAAAATAGTGGAGCAAATTGAAAATTTGGAAAGAAAAGGATACATTTCCTCGGAAAATTCTTCCGAAACCTTAAAAGTAACCTTAACTCCCATGAAACGTTATACGGTGACTATGCGCTATCATCAGTAGTCAGTTTGGTTGGTACATAACAATCCCAAAAAGGGGGGGATCAAACGTTTTTAGGGTCCATTTTATATAGTTTAACCAAACACAAAGGGCCTCAAATATTTTGCTCTATACTTCGCAAAAGTTACCGTAGAGTTTTAAATTTTTCCTAGGGGTTTCATGAATAATCAGTTGTTCAAAATATATATCAGACTAGCTGAACCCGGTGCGCTTCGCTACCCCTTTTGATTTTATATGCATTCAAAATTTTATTTACGAATATATGTTGGTTAAAAAAAAGAAATTTTATAATTAAAAAAAAATTATTGCACTACTTTAATGCGTAAATATACAAAACCATTAGAAAAACGGTAACATGACATACATACACGAAGGGTTTGTCCTTCGGATTTATTTATTTCATAGCAAATACCAAGCGTGCAGTAAACTGCAATCTTTTGAAGTTGAGTGGTATTTCTGTTGCAATTAATGAATTCAAGATAGCAACATACTTCGCCGTAATAAGCGTATTTCAAATTAATTGTTGTGTTGTTTTTTAGTGTTAGCCTAAGGCGTTGTGGGTCAATGGTTCTTATTAAAATCATATCCCAATCTGATCCGATTTAAATATAATTTTAAAAAAAATACTTTTACACCAAATTCCGCCACACCTTTCATATTTCATTGAAATTGGTGCGTCAAATACGTGAAATCGGCCGAGAATATATATATGGGAGCTATATCCAAATCTTAACTAATTTCCAATTAATTTGTCACATTTATTATTGTAACCACACATATGTTAGCTATACCCAAACCTCAACTGTTTTCAATAAAATTTGGCAATTTTTTCTGGTGCCAGATTTCGTCTTTCTCGCTTTGGGTGCATCAAATATGTGAAATCGGCTGAGTATATATGTGGGAGCTATAATTAAATCCGAGCGTATTTGAATATAATTTGTCAAATTTATTTTTGTACCAAGTTTAGCCACTCATGCCGAATTTCATTGGAATCGGAAATACGTATCGTGTTTTGTGCATCAAATATGTGAAATCGGCGGAAAATATATATGGGAGCTATATCCAAATCTGAACCGATTTTAATATAATTTGACTAATTCATTTTCTAATCAAAATCCCGTTACATATTCCAAATTTCTTTGGAATCGAACATACATATCGTGCATGGTGCATAAAATACATGAAATCGGTCGAAAATATATATGAGAGCTATATCCAAATCTGAACCGATTTTACTATAATTTGACAAATGTATATTCGTTTTAATTTCCCCTACAGATTCCAAATTTCATTGAAATTAGAGATACATAGCGTGTTTGGTGCATCAAATACATGAAATCGGTCGAAAATATATATGGGAGCTATATCCAAATCTGAACCGATTTCAATATAATTTGAAAAATTCATTTTTGCTCCCGATTCCGTTACTTATTTTAAATTTCATTAAATTTGGACATACATATCTTATTTGGACCACCAAATACATGAAATCGGCCGAAAATATATATGGGAGCTATATCCAACTCTGAACCGATTTCAATATAATTTGGGAAATAAATTTTTTTTAGATAAAATCTATCACACGTTTCAAATTTCATTGAAATTGGGGATACATAGCGTGTTTGGTGCATCAAATGCTTGAAATCGGCCGAAAATATATATGGGAGCTATATCCAAATCTGAACCGATTTCAATATAATTTGACAAATTTATTTTCGGATCAAATCCAGTCACATATTCCAAATTTCATTGCAATCATAGCAAATACCAAGCGTGCAGTAAACTGCAATCTTTTGAAGATGAGTGGCATTTCTGTTGCAATTAATGAATTCGAGATAGCAACATACTTCGCCGTAATAAGCGTATTTCAAATTAATTGTTGTGTTGTTTTTTAGTGTTAGCCTAAGGCGTTGTGGGTCAATGGTTCTTATTAAAATCATATCCCAATCTGATACGATTTAAATATAATTTTAAAAAAATTACTTTTACACCAAATTCCGCCACACCTTTCATATTTCATTGAATTTAGTGCGTCAAATACGTGAAATCGGCCGAGAATATATATATGGGAGCTGTATCTAAATCTTAACTAATTTCCAATTAATTTGTCACATTTATTATTGTAACCACACATATGTTAGCTATACC